GGAAGCATTGACCCAGCGAGGGAGGTGCAGTGAGTACACCTACAGCAGAGAGGCTGGCTGGGGCCAGTGCAGAAAAGAACCCAAGACTGATGAAGCAAAACCCACCCCATATCTGCAGACAGAAGAGCAGACCCATAGCAGCCCGCTGAGGGCTGTCCCCAGCGCCTCCATTGCCATTCTCTGACAGAGTCTTTCATGGTGGGTTTGGCAAGGAACACTGGCAACAGCTGCCTCCCAGCAGCATCAGCCACCTCCTGTCACCACCCTGCTGCATGATGAGCGGCTCTCAAACCCCACCACCACCAACTTGCGTGTGGTCCCCACGCAACACAAGGGATTCAGCAGCATCTCTTCTCCCATGCGCCTGTGGGAGAGGAGACATAACTCCCTCAACCTTTCTCCCCCTACCATCCAGATAGCACTTACAAGGAAAAACCCCAGCCTCACCGGGGAAGAATGTATAAACCCACACATCTGTGGGTTACCTTTACTGGTAACTTTATCACTGTGCTTTAAGACAAAACCAGCCGGGTGGTACTCAGCTCTTCACAGCCATTCCGGCAGGACATGGCTGTCCTTATGTGTCAGGAAGTAAGGAATGAGAAAAAAATAACTTGAGGGGTTTGGTTTGCTTTGGTTTATTTAAACAAATCTCCTTCTCTCCTGCCTGAGTCAGGAGCCTAGCTGTGCCCAGCAGGAACAATGGTGGCCCCCATGGTTCCCATGCAAACAACTGCTGCTCTGCCATGGCCACAGGTGTGACCCAGGGCTGCTGGTCCTTGGGTCTGGGCCGGGTGGCTGGGCAGCAGTAGAAGCTGTCTGCCTTCCTTCCCACCCATCCTGCTACCTTCTGGGCTGCAGGGGAGGAAAAGACTGTGTCTGGGTCCTGAGAGGGAGTCAGGGCTAGAGTGCCACAGCAGTGGAGTTTGCCTCCACCATATCACCCAGCTGGCCAGAGCAGGGGAGGCTGTGGAGTCACATCCTTTTCTTGCACTCCAGCATTTGGCCATTGATGGGATAGGGGGGAACAGTGTGCTGTAGGGAGAACAGCATTTAATGCACACATGAACTTGCTGCAGGGGACATCATGCCCCCGTCCCTGTCCCCCCACAGCAGGTGGGTTTTCACCACCCACACTGGCAGAGGCTGCTCCTGAAAACACCTGGAAAACACATCCTTGCTCTGTCTCTCAAAGAGATGCAAAAAGAGACTACTCACTGGGGAGTGCATTGTAGAGCCTTCCTCTGAAGGTGCCACGAGCACTGCAGCCTACCCGGGGCTCTGCAGCTCCCCCCAGCCTGCCCTGCCAAGCTTGAGCGCTCTAGGTGACAGGGATTCATGTTATTTCCTGGCATACCTCTGATGTACAACCCAAACCCAGCCCTGGCCCAGCTCCAGAGCTCATGGCTCCCATTCCCAGATGCCCTCACTGAGGGACAGGAGGAGCTGGGAGGCAGAACCTGGGGGAAGCCAGAGCAGCCCTGCAAGGAGCACAGCCGGTCCTCAGGCACCCAGCCAGCTCTGACTGTGACCAGCACACACAGGGAGCTTTTCTCAGTAGTTACACAAACTCGAGTGCAAAGATTTCAAAAAGGAGGAAGCGAAGAGGGAAGAAGGTATTGATGAAATAGTGGATGTGGGGAAACGTGCAATAAGCAGCCTCCCGAGCCTTCACCACACCAGTGGGACCAGTCCTCCTCCATGCAGGGAAAGCCAAGGGGTATATTTTATTTTTCAAGAAATTCCATCCATGGGTTCCAGTGCAGTGGTGTAAATTCCCTTTTCACCTTTTCAATTCAGAGTGTTTTAATATATTAACTGTGTTTGTTTTACTGTGGACCAAACTCTAGCAGTTAGGAGAAGCTGAAAGCTCCCCCCCAGCATCTGAGTTCTAAAATTGGGGTTCAATCCTACCTCTGCATAGGCTGGCCTCCAGCTGGAAGCAGGGAGGAGAAAAAGGCTCTCTCCAGGGAGGAAAAAAAAAAACCAGCAAAATCAGTAAAAATAACAAAAATCCTAATCCTTTGTTTTGTTTGACTGGTGTAGGTTCCCATGTACCTCTGTGTTGTGTCATCTGCATTTCATTGCTTTACTTTAAGATGTTTTGTGTTCTGTTTAAAGACAAGAATAACTCATTGTGAAAAATTAATTGGATAACTGTGATTGTGAATAAAGTTGATTTAGATATCCTGCAGCAGCATGGCTGACTCGAGTCCACTTTACCACTTCATAAGAACAGCAGAACACAATGGCCAGCACAGTGAGAGGCTGAGGTGGAAGCAAGGGTGGCATGAGAGGCTCTTGCTTAGGGGGAGCTGGGTGGAGAGATCTCAGGCTTTCCTTCAGTGCTTGAGAGTGGAAGAGTGCTGGGAGGTGGATATTAATATCCTCTTGGCAGACACCACACACACATAAGGAATACAGGAAAGCACAGAAGTAAAAGCAAGGGCTAACAGCATTCCTGAAAGCTTAGGCCCACAATCCCAAGCCTCTTCTCCCTCCCCAAAGAGAGGTCACAGCTTCTTTACTCTCACTGTCTTGTTTACAGTCTCTTCTGCAACCACAAAAAAGTGCCCTCCACCAGCACAAGAAAGAGAACGTGTACTGTGAGGAAACCCAGGACATGCTGCTCAGCCTAGGAGGGGCAGGTAGGGTGGCTGAAGATGAGGCAGAGCAGTACCATCCCAGCCCTGAACTGAGCAACACATTGAGAAGGCACACTGACAATGTGGTCTGGACAAGTGAGATGCTGAGTTAAGATGCACATGCTTCCCAAGTATGTAGCAAGGGACACAGACTCAAAGGGAGTTTGGGCTCTTCAAAGGTGATGCCAGTTTCCTCAAAACCCACTCCTCTGTTGCAGGTATCTGCTCAGGAGGACACTTACAATACAACAAATGTGAGATCTTCCTCTCATCTTTTTGTTTAACTATTCAGTAGATGAGAGACTATCTGGATCACACTCTTGTCACGGGACATATTTGAGGTGGCAGTCTCCCTCAGTGTGGGTGTTCCATCTGCCAAGGGTCAGGGACATCCCAGGACATCACCAAGAATTGTGTCCTCAGCCGCTCCAGCTGAAGCCAAACAGTTCCTCAGTGGCCTAAACCATTCCAGGCTGGGTGAAGCAAAACCACTTCTCCAACACCAACCTGAGGAGATCCCAGCTGTCAGGACAAGGCAAGTCTGCAGAGCTGTGTGCTGCCCTCCAAGGAGCTGTTCCAGCTCCTGCCTTCCCTGGGATTGGAGCAACTCTAGTGGATCTGGAAAGTCTCCTCATTCCCTCAGGAATGAGGGACAGGGTTGTACAACACAGAATGTCCTAGAAACTGGTGGCACTGACTTGCTGGAACACTGCCACAGATTAGGATGAGTCAAGTGCTAACGCTTTGGGCCAAACTCAGATCTTCCCCTTCCTTGGCAAGAGGGACCATGGCACATCCGCCAGGTGTTCCTCCTGCCAGCCTCGGCCTGCGCAGCCCCTCATGCAGCTGCCACTTGCAACAGCCCCAGCGAGCTTCGCATCCTCATCTGCCGAGCATCGCTGGAGGCACCCTGCCCTGCCCTCCGCAGGCCACCACCATCACCATACCACAACCCAACCAGAGCTGCAATTTCGCCGTTGCTCCCAAGCTATTCTCCACCAAGACCAAGTGTGTGGAGCAGAACTGACCTTCCCCAGCGAGGGAATGCCGGCAGCGCGGCGCTCCCGCTGCGTCCTGCGGGGCTGGGCCCAGCTGTCCCGGCACAGCCCGCGGCGGGCGAGGAGGAGGCGGAGGAAGATGAGAGGGAGGATGCTCCGAAAGCGGTCCGGGAGCTGCAGCGCTGGTCCGGCATCGCCACCTGGTGCTCAATGCCCGGCCCGGAACTCAGCCCCCGCTCCTCCCGACATCGATTTTAACAAACACTGCAAAATACACTAAAATAGGACCAGAAAAATTCAGTCTTGAGTGCAGCACAATTCTGGTAGTGGTTCTCCGAGAAAAATGGGCAAGAAGGGAGCAATTAACAATGAGTTACAGTGTGCAAGGGGATACATTAATAAATAATGATTGCCAGCCCAAGAAAACCCTTTCAAGCTGTTTGGCTCACTCAACACAAAGGGAAGAGGGGGCACAGCTTCCAGTCCCACTTGCCAGTGTGTTCGTGCCCAGGACTGTGTGCTGTATCAGATTCAATTCCTGGCATCCTTCAGAGAGCTGGGGTGCCTGAACAGGACTCTTTGTGCACCATCCACCTACATGCCAGCCCAGAGGAACATCTCTTACAGTCAGGCTGGGAACTGAAGAGCTAAAAACCAACCTTGTTACTCCTCTACTATTAGATCCCTTCTTATAACTTCCTCCCCCAATATATCCCCTAATCCACTGCCTTTGGCACCCCCAAGAGATGTCCTTGCATAAGGAGAGGGGATCCATTACCAGAAACTTCTGTTTTACCTCTCTGTGGCTTTGCACAGCAATGACCTTCTTCTACTTGTTGAGCTATTCAGGCCTCCAACCTTCAAAGACAGGTAAGAGCAATGGCCAGAAACCTTGCAGGATCAGACCTCGGTATCCCACGTTCAAGCACCACCTGCTCTGCAAACTGCACACAGAGCTCATCTCACCTTGCAGAGCAACCCTAATCACAGAACCAAAGTACCACTTTTGTAAAAGCATGATTTTCTTCTTATTTGGAACCTATCCTTCTCCAAGAAACATCCTTCTTTGAGTACTGTAAGCCTTAAGAACTTGTACAACACAGAATTTCTTCATGTTTGAGGGCTGAGGTGACTTTTCCATAAACTTCGTGGAATAGAAAAATACAAAAATACAGCATACAGTAACTTCAGCCAGGGAACAAGACAAGGTCCATTTAGCCTAAGATGAAATTTGCAACTGCATGAATGCACAAATTACAAGTTATTCTGGGAAAGATAAATTCAGTAGAATTCAAGTGTAATCAAAACAGCACTGAAAAAATTAGAAGAAAAACCTCAACAAAACAAACCAACTGGATCACAATTAAAAAGGTCAAAAATTTATTTTTCCTTAGGGCATAAGAGGCGTTGTAAACAAAATACCAACAAACAAACAAACAAATCACAAGTCAATTCTTACAGTCTGCAAGCATTTGAAGACAGAGTACCCTTTTCCCACCTCCCCCCGAACACTGCAAGCCTGCTCAAATGGTAACTGGCAACAATCCTGGGCCCTGAAGGTCCAGGGAGTTTTGCCATGTCCCAAGCTGGGACTAAATTTCTCATGTAAGAAGGACACTGCATCTGTTTTATCAAACACTTAAAAAAAATAAATCCAACAAAATATAAATATTACAGACAAAGAGTAGATTTAGCACCACCTTTGGTCCAAGCAATCAATGAACTGGGAGATGACAGGTACAATTTGTTCAGCAAGTCCTTTCTGCCCAAGTCTTTGAAAACATTATAGGTTCACACTGCAAGAACTTGTAATATCTCTGAGAAAACACTTCTCAAATTCTGGCAGTCCCTCGCAACCTCCCAGGTCCTGCACACAGGGAGGAGGGAGCATCCTGGCTGGGCAGCAGCCCCCAGGTCAGCAAAAATCACTCAGAGCACTTGGCAGAGCCCTGTGGGACATGGCAAACAGTGTACCAAGGGTCTGCTCCTGCTTCGGCCCAGCAGAGCTCTGACTTCAGGATAGCTGAGGACCAGCAAGAGCAGTGACAGCGTGCATCCTGAATTTCCCTTTCCACCAACATTTGCCACCCTCCACCACTGCGGCACCTGTGAGCTGCCAGGGTGGGTGATGGCAGATGGCTGGGAGGAGCTGAAGTTGCCTCAATGCAAGTTACTTCAGCATATCTGGAACACGCACATCAGGAGTTCTTTTATCAGTTGTAGTTTACTCCAAGGCCTTTTTAGGCTCATCTTTTCCAATACACAAATGCCCAACAAATGCAGGGTTCTGAATTTTTGCAAAGAGGTGTCACAGCACTAGTGTGTGCCAGGACACACTCACAAGGACCTGTGGTAATCCTAGAAGAAAAAATGAGGTTCATAAAGCAACTGGAAATATTTTATGTTTCTTACAACTCTCTCTCCTCTAAGTGTCCAGGACTCAAATTGTCTTTTCCTTTCCTGTAGGAATTTTTGAGAAGTCCTGATGAACCATTATTAAATGCTGCTCATTTTCAAAGTAACAACAGCTCTAACAAATGCCTGTAGAAAAATGCTGAGATCTACTTCTAAGCACAGTAATCTGAAGTCTTTGTTCTACATCTTCACATGTACAATTGCCCAAGACAGATGGTGTTCCTCATTCTCTGCTGAGAGACCTGTACAGAGTTTTCACCTTTACAAACAGACATGATTAAAAATTCCAAAAACAAGCACTTGTTTTTACTTCGCTGTTTTAGAGCACGCTGCTCTAGGGAAAAAACCCAACCCTCAATTACTTTACATGGTTTTGCCGTTCTCTGAGCAAACAGTTGGTCATGGCACAGAGAGGAGGGCAGCCCCTCTGAGTGCTTTCCCTGTCCCACACAGGGCACAGCCATGAGGACAGCTCTGAAATAGGGCACTGCAGTCAAAGTCTGAAAATCTGGATTAAGGGGGAGATTATGCTTTTCACAGCTCATTTCCCCCACCACTGTCAAATCCAGAGCAAATGAAAACATTGTACTATGATGACTTCATTAATTCTTGCTGGAACAAAGGCACACTTCTTTTGTCCCAGTCACAGAAACAGGCCCCAGTGTCTATCAGCTAAATCCTTACAGGTCCCAGATGACTTGTGCTGAAGTCTGATGGAAATTTCTAGAGAGTCACTTGGGAAAAAGGAGATTTGTGTTTTCCTCATTGCTAATATATCTTTGGTGCTGGCCCACAATAAAATTGCTCATTTTGTTAACCAATACTCTGATCTGCATGCAGTCTTCACAAAGGTTTACACACAGACTCAGGGACTGGTCACAAAAAGATCTGTTTCATGCCAGTTCAGACAGACTGGGGCATCTAACCCCTCCCTCATTAACAATAACTCTGACCATCAATGACAAAAGATACTGTTAAATGCAGAAAGTGTCACTTTCCTGGATTCCAGTTTTACTGGGATGACTTTTTCTCATGCATATGATTTCCTTTCCTAGGAAAACTTCTCACAGACCCAAGCACACCTGAACCCTTGCAGGAATTGTTCATTGTACAAACAGTTTTATCCAACTGGTCAGCATCTCAAGTTCATTAAACAAAAACTGAACAATGCTTGAAGCTAGTTATTATTTCTGTCTCTAGCTCACATTTGCTATGACATACTGTGAATGTCAAGATACCTGTCACCTCTCTAAGAATTAATTCATGACCAAAAGCTTTAACATCTACATGATCAACAATATTCACTCCACTGCCTTCAGCGGAGCTGGATCAGAGGCCACAACAAAATATGGTCTAAAGCTGTTACCACAAAAAAGGATTTCCCCAGACTCATTTTCTTCCTCTCTTAGCTTAACTTGCAACCCAAAACAAACTAAATGGTCTCCTGCCCACAAACTCTCTTAAAAAAAACCAAAACAAACAAAAAAACGAACAAAGAAATAAACTCTCGGCTAATTCCTTCTCGTATTTACTGCAACAGAAACCACACCAACTTCCAGACCTTTTCCCAAGCAGAACAGACAAATTGGTTCCCATATTAAAAACAAAACAAACAAAAGACAAAGAAGTGTCACCAACTTGACCCCACACACACTAAGACCAGCCACACATTTCTCTATCTCTGGTCACCAACATACCCTCCCCCAAGATTCCAAGCTCCTATGAGGTACATTCCCAGCACCTAACCACTAAAAGATGGAGCTCTCACCAACACAGAAAAGACAACAGTATCTAGTTTTCAAGGTCACAGTAAGAACATCAACCACCCAAGAAACCCACTGCAAAACTCTCCTTAGACCAGGCCTAGATCTCTATTTTTTAATTTTTTTTTCTTTTTATTTTTGGTCAACTCAAAATTTGGGACAGCAAACCCTTGAGAAGCTTCCAGTTCAGACATGTGCCATTGCTCTGCTAATGCAGAGGAGCACAACAGCTCAAACAAATTTCAGCCTTCCTTCACCAACAGTTTTAGGCTCCCAGTAACTCACTACCCACAGTTTGCAGAGATAATCTGGGCTAATTAACAGCTACAGCTGTGCACAGCCATCTGAGCTGCTTTCAACACCTACCTGGAGTTATCTGCACCTGAACTTTAGCCTAAGCAGCAATCAATCAAGCTGCTGTCAGGACTTCCCCTGACATGACATTTCATATTGAGCCTTAACTGCGGACGCTCATCTACATGATTCTCCCTAAACACTGCTAGCAGAGTAATAAGCACTGCTGTCTGCAATTAAATCTGCAATAAAGGAACAGCAATGATGTATTGTGCAAGTCAGCCAGATAGCAGAAATGGACTCACACTGTACACTACTGGCCCCACAACACTCACTTTGAACCCTCAGTAGAAAAAAAGTCATTGTAATGCTACACACGCTTTGCTTTTGCAATATTCCAAGGTTTGAACTCATCACAAGTAATGACCAAGACCTTTCAGCAAGCCTGCTCAGCATGACACAGAAAAATTCCTCCTAGCAACTGGCAGCAATTCTAACTTCCTCCTTCCCTGAAAGCCCAAGATTAAGTCAGCTGTTCAGTGAAATACATCATTTTTTAAAAGGTTTATTTTTCTTTTCTTTTTCATTTGTTCCAGTTTACTAATTACTACAGGCTAAGTTCCAGTGACTGCACTATTCTTTTCTGTCCTGCTTCAAGGGGACAGAAAAAACCAAATGAATGTGTTCTGACCCAGAGTCAGAACAGAATTCAATGGCCCTCTAGTCATCACCCAAGGCTGATGATGGGATTTTGTTTATTTATCCCTCATGACCCAGGAAGCAGTTCAAGAATAAGCTCTCCAACCACAAAAGAACTGTTTGCACAGAGAATGCTGTCACATTGCTTACCTTTCAGCCATCAAATACAGAGTCAATATAACAGCTTTCATGGGGAATATATGGAGAAGCCTGAAATGCTTACCTAAATATTATATCTTGTATTTTAAAAATTTTCTTAGTGCCAAGTGATTCTCCCTTACACCTGTTTTTCTCCTCCACCAAACAGGGACCAAGACAGGTACCATTGTAACCAAATAACCCTCAGCATCAGGGAGAGGTCACTAAAACAAACATTGTTCCAGAAGTAGTGCTAGCACAGGGCTGTTCCTGTCCACATGGACAGATCTAGAACAGCAATGCTTGCCCACTGCACCAGCTGAACCTCGGTGTATGCAAACTCCAGACACACAAACTGCCTCAACTACAACAAGCATACAACCTATGTTTGTCTTCTTTTGGTGGATTGGTGGCTTCAGGATACAGATTATCATAGTATGTTAGGGATTGAAACTTTTCTCAAAAACAAAAAATCCTGTCACAGAGCAGTGATGTATTTAAACCATCTATACAGAGAAAGCACCTGCAGTGTCGGACCAAATAATTAATTTGCCTTATTAAAAACATCTTTTTCCTCATATTTTATCTATCTCTCCCCTGCCAATATAGTTACTTCTAATTTATTTTCTAATTTCTTTCCAAATCATCATAATCAACATAATTCCCATAATTTTAATTCAGTAACAAACAGGAGTCTCAACTCAGGACAGTAGTGGCTTATGCTGACAAGAACAGGTCTGTAAAACGCCAGTGTGAAGCTTTAAACCAAATTTATTTATAAAAAAAACAAACACAAAACAAAAAGAAAATTGCACTCTCCAACTAAAAATCAACACTACCTTGATGCAAGAACAAATGAAAACATAGTTGATGGGACCAGCCCAGCCCTGACAACATAAAATGGGGGAAACAAATTTGTTCTGATTATGCCAGCCATGTCCGCACGCAGTGCGGCGCAGCTTCCGCCCTGGGAACTGCTGCGGAGTCCCAGCCCTGACGCAAGGGCACACAGGAGAAAAGATCTCCTCATTCCACCCTTGGCACACCCTGCAAAACTGACACCCCAAAGCAGAGTTATGGGTGACTTTTTACAGACACCTGTGCTTTGCTCCAAATTGGGTCTAAGATGGAGAAGGAAAAGCAGCAACAGCAACCTACATCCCAACCCAAAGTCAACTGACTGGGGGCTTCTGCATCCGGCCTTATGTACAGTACTTTATTTGAAAATTACAGAAACACACAACAGACATGACTACTGAGCAGCACAGAGAGAGAGAGAGAAAGAACAACACAAGCACTGGGCATCGTTAGCAGAGGCCATCAAACAGTTCAAGTGTGCAGACACATTCCCCATGCATCATTGTAGTGCTGGTCCCTGCTTCTAGCAAGCAACAAAAAGCAAGTGAAAACAAAATAACTTAGACAAATATATGCTCTCAGACCATCATACTGGTACTGTTGGCAGCTATCAAACACTGAACTGATACACAGCACTTCACTATGTGGCTAAATAGCATCTGAAGCTGACAGAGAAGGAGCTGCTGGTGATGGAAAACCACCAGCAAATAGCAGCAAAGCTCCAGCTGGTTTTAAAAAGCTGCAAGATTTGCAGCACAGTGGATCATGGCAGGGCAGCACCAAGGCTAAGCAGTCCTGTGCACCCTTTGGAGGTGTAGGAACAGAGTGCACAGAGCTTGCTTTTGCTGAGAACGGTCCATGCTGAGCACCCACAGGGCTCTTCTGTCAGTGTAACTCTACTGATGCTCGTGGGCTTCTTGCCAGTTCAGATGAGAGCATGTGAAAGAATTAAGTTGGCTCCTCAAAACCAGATTACTAATTGGTAAAGTATTAGAGGTTTTCCAAAATCACACGTTTGATACTATTTCAGTACAGCTGCAGAATTCAGTTTTTCTGTTTGAATGCAAAGGTCTCTGGTAATACTAAAGCTTTTTGACAAACCTAAGAACAGCAGGACAAAAATTAAGCAGAAAATGGAGGTACATCCCCTCTCCAGAGTAATGAACTAGAGCCACAGGAGATGTACTTCCCAGAGCTCAGAGAGTCAAGTGCTCTGGCTTTCACATTTCTCTTGCACCATACAAAAATAGTCCAGTTTTTCAAAGGCAGTAGATTTTGCTGCTACCTGTAAAGTCACATTATTTTTGACAGATGGAAGTTCTTCTTCCATTCAAATAGAATTTAAGACAATACCTCTTTTGAAGGGCAAAGTTTCTGCCCAAATTGATTTAGGACCTGAGAGATCCACCTTTGCAAGCCAAGAAATATGAAATCAATATCCAAAACATCTGTGAAATTCTGCAGGTGAGAATTAACCCAGATAAAAGGGAGACTTTTTCTTCCTAGGTTAACAATAATGACAGAAAAGAAAGGACCTGTAAAAATATTCCCATAGCTCTTGCAATAAATAGAAATAAAAATACAGTATCCAAACTTGGGACTGCACCAGCAGAATTATTTTCCCTTCTGAAGTTACCACCAATTCTGAAGTGCAACAGAGGACGTAGCCAGCAGAGACAAACCAGAAGACGGAATCATGCATGGATGACATACAGAGTGTTTCAAGCATAGCTTAGAAGTCCTGTATTGATAAGGATGTTAATGCACATTCTATACATAATTCTGGCAACATGCTGCATAATCCTTATACTTTCACTAACAGGTGATACTTTTTTATGGAAAGCAGCCATTCCCAACCCAAGCCACCCCAGCTGTCAGTCTCTACCGACCCAAGGGTCCTGTTTTCATCCAGTTGCCCCCTCCACTGCATTTCCCCTTCCCTAAGAGTGCATGAATAGAGAATTGCAAACATTTCACACTGCACGTTCCACTCCAAGTCCTGGATGAGGGGCCTGTTTATTCTATGAATATTGCACTTATCCACTCATTGGATTTGCTTTTTCTCAAGAATGCAGAATATTTGGGAAAAAATAGAAAGAATAGTAGGATACAACACAGGAAAATATGAGTTATTAACAAGCTAGCTATGAAGATCTAAAATTAAATAGCACTAGTTCTATCCTGTTAATGCTAGTAATATGAAAATAATGAATGCTTTATCAAATTCCCTTGTTTTTCATATAAGATAAAAGCAGTAACTTTCTTTTTAACTGAGGAAAGCAATGAATATATATTACAATAAAATATGATTCATTAAGATCTGAAAGTGATGAAAACAATTATATAATGCCTTCGTCAAACTTTATAGCATCATAATGGAAGGAGTCATTAGGGAACACATCCACAAGGGACAAATGCATTTTTTAGCTATACCCATGCAGATGTGAATTTCCATTTTGAAGAGTCTAGCTGCAAGACAATTCCAATCTTTCCTTATTGTGTATTTGCTATTATTGAATACATCAATTTCAAAACTTCCTGTTGACACATCAGTTAAGTACCCCAACATGTGCCCATCATCTCTTGTCTTGAAAGATTTGGCTTGCAAAGGACTGATACATACAACTACACTCATCCATTGCATGGAATGACAGCTAAAACAATGGACCAGAGTTGCCTCCCATGGGGAAGGACTCCTAACAAAATGCATGACTCTTGCTGTTATGAGAATGTGTTTTGAAAGGGGATACAAGGGAAACCAGCAAATAAACTTTTCAGGCATTATATAAAGCTCAATAACGAACTCAGAAGTGCTCATTATTATTAAAGTTGCAGTATACAGCAAGACACAATTTTCACATTCTTTAATTTTGTTCTCTGGCATTGGAGTTTGGAATTTCTGCTGGTCCAAATTCAAGACTTTTTGGAAAATACAGAGGGTGGGTGAGAGCAAGACAGCAAAACCAGCCACCTCTCTCCCCAGAGGAGGGCCCCCTTCAGCTGCAAATGGCTTTGCTCAAGCCCTGCAGACTCTCTCTTAACAAGCTGGTTCAGGAATAAACCAGAAAGAGAAATTTAAACAGTACTATTGGTTTCTGCATTGAGTGTTCACTGAGGTGTACATTACATTTAAATATTGCTCTTGATCCAGTGTCAGTTCTGGCAAATTTAGTAAATAAAAGGCGACGTTAACATTTTTAGAAAAGAGCTAAAACACTTCTAGCACTACACTGTCCTCTGAGTACTCTGCTAGGTTTTCCTGCCCTGCAGTCAGCTTTTCTGATATGGCTTAAGGCCTTTCTCTCTTCTTCACTCAGCTAAGAGTGGGGGCTTGCTATTTAGGGTGTCAGTAGAACTGACCAAAACTAGCTGCTCATTTATGGAAAAAATAATAATTATTTTCCTGATATCTCTCAATTGAAAGAATTAAAAAAAAAAGAGAGCATCTCTGTGAGAGATGCTATAACAATGGTAAGGCAGGAATAGGAAAAATTGCATTGGGAGCATTTGTTTTAAAAGCGCCCTTTTAAACACAAGCAGCCAAAACAACTACCAAGTGAAGGGAAGCCCAATGGAAGCTTTTCCACCAGGGTGGAAGCCAGCATGGCAAGTGGTGGCCAACAATAATTTCTGGCCCCAAGTAGGCATCTGCACCCCATCTGATTTCTGGTACAGGTGAGGGCAGAGGGAGGCCACAAGTGTGGCTCTGCAGCCCATCTCCAGAGCCTGGCCTCTCCTCAGGAAGGCATGGAGCCTCTGAGATGGGATAAAGCAGCAACTGAGCCATGGAGCTGCTGCATGAGGAAACCCTGGCAGTGCTGCAGGCACCCTCACGCAGTGTCATCCTGAAAACCACCTCCCTGCAAAGGCCAGAGCTAGAGAAGCAAGGCAGCAAGATGAAACAGGAGCTGTGGGACACATGGAACGTCCCTTACAGAGCTGCCTCAGGCAGATCCTGAAGCCTCCTAACCTGAGCCTCACAGAGAACTTGCATCCACGGGGCCAGCCCTGTGCAAGGCACATGGCAGCCAGGTGCTGGAATTGTCTGCCAAAAACACTTGTGCTACCCCACACCCTGCAAGGACTCCTGCAGTTTAGAAGTGCCCTGGGCTTGGCTTTGCTGGATGCAGATGTATTTCCAGTAGCCTGGAATACATTTCTGTCTCCTTGCTGCTCTTCCCTCCTTGATTAGGGGCTCATGTCAGGCCATACCATACTCAGAGAATTCAGTGGCTCAATGCAGAAGATCTGGGAGCTGTGCTTTACATCCCCCCAAAGAGATGACCTAGTGGGAATGTCATTAAACAAAACTTTAGAATATTTTAAATAATAAGTTAATTCTTAATAAATATGTGCTTCAAGAAAATGATAATTATATACTGCACCTTTAAATAATGCACTTAGTTCTCTGCACTGGCTTCCATTTTGGTTTCTTTTATTGTTAAAGTGCATTAATTCAAAATAATGAACCACTTCCGCATCATTATTGTTAAAATAAATCATAACATTAATACCAATCACTAAGTCACTACTATTAGTACTGCAATCTAGCAGATAACTCTATGTATTGCTCTATTTAATACTGTCCAGCAGAAGAATATAATACTTCTATTATAATTTCACAACAGCTCCAGCAGTCTTTTATGGCTGCTACCATATTAGTACAACTAAAAATGGGGAGAAGTAGAGAGACAGGGCCACAATGTCTCAGATACACATCCAGCAAGATGTAGCTAACTGGACACACTCTTACACATCATAGGGTGAGACATTAAGGTACAAAGAGGACCCCGCACTGTGATATGAGCTGTTGTGCACTTTACACCTTCTCCTGCCACCACAATTTAAAGGGATCCCAAAGAAACAGCCTCCCCTCCCCACCTGCATGCAGAGAGCTGCTCGAACCACAGCACTGTTTGTAGCCTGTAGTTGTGGCACCTGGGTGTTGTTTCAGCTACCAAAAGGACATCAGCCACATCAGCTGTAGGCAACTCTCTCAGTGTTATCACGGAAATTAATAAAACACCCAAACCACACACACACACACAAAAGAAGACCCAAAAAAAAAACCAAGAAAAGAAAAGAAAAAAGACAAGAGAAACATATAAATTTCCTCTTTTTTTTTTTTTTTGGCAGTGAAGCATCCCCAGTAACATATGGTATTATTGTGCTGTTTTGCTCAGCCCCTTGATCCCAGCTATTTTGAAGCCTTTATAACCTTTAACTTTCAAGCCAAATCAGTACGAAACTGGTGGAAAAAAGGACATGTAATGCTTTGTGTAAACCAGTAGTGAAATGGTCTGCCCCTCCCCCCTTTGAACAGGTTTACAATGCTGCCTATTATTTAAATGAATTAGATATTGATCTTGAGTGATTAACAAGGCCAGTTAAGAAAACCCCCAAGCATGACTTACTTAAACACAGTAGGGATTTAGTAAATTATGTTTACAGTACAAGGCTACCTCACAAATTATTCCATATTCCTAGCCTTTTCCAATGGATACCTCTCCCATATCCCACACCACCCACACCGTGCGCCACATTTCAAAACACGAGTTAAGAAAGGCAAACAGAACTGGAACTAGAAGAGGCAGCTTCCTGGTTAGATGCATTGTAGACTGAATTGCTTTGATATTAAATCTCTGAGCCTGAGAAGCCCAGGCCCACTTTCCAGTACAAATGTACTCTTTGGATTCAAGTGGGAACAGAAACGCATATTTGGCTCCTACTTCAGTTTTAAGTCTTTTCTGGTAAAACCAGACACACACAGAAAGAAAATACAGTACACCCAGAATGCACAGAAAAGACAAAAGCAAAACACAAAAGCAATTCCCCAAAAATATACAAATTATGTGCAGACTGAGTTTGATGGCTTTTTTTTCCCCACTCATTGTAAACACTGATGTTTCAGAAGGTTACAAATATTTCTCTCTAATATCTTGGTGGGCCCTGCCAGCAGTCAGCACCCTTGGATTTGGACCAGAGGGCAAAACAAGAACTAACACATCTGACAGTTTTGTCTTTAGTATCTTAAGGGACTTTGTTGACTTTGATAACTTTTGAGAAACCCAACTCTGGGAAAAGAATCAACCAGTATCACCTGGCAGGAGTCAGGCACAGAACCAAATACAAAGTCTACATAGTAACAGACACACTTAAGCAAGGGGTTTGTAGGTTTGTTTTTACAAGCACCAGTAGGCATCACTGCCCTCAAACACCTGAAATCCCAACTCAAAGAACAAGAGAGAATGAAAGGAAACAAAAAGCCCCCAACCCAGACCACCTGATGGCCTTTTCCGGTGCGTTAGCCGTAACACTGAAGTCAGAGACCAAAGCTCTTCACGATGAAAAGGCTCCAACTCTGGGCCTACCAACTGTTGAGTATAGTTAAAAAAAACAAAAACGTGAACATCTCAAAAGGATTAGAGTCCCTCTGTAGTTCAGAAACTTTCACTTGCTGCTTCTCACTGTAAGTTGTGGAAAAGCATTCAAAATTCTTGGGTATTCCACGAATGACACAAATGAGGAGAAAGGGAGCCAAGATTGTAAAACAGTTTGGCACAGAACTCCCCAGGTAGATGCATGTGTATTTCTCTCACAAAAGGCACACGTTTGGTTTCCTATCAATAATGGGAAGGATGGGATGTCATACCCTGTTACACATACAAGAATATTAACAACTTCACAAAAAGGCATTTGACTATGCTGCATCTTCCTCATAGTTGCTTACAACATGTAAACCCCACAAACCTCTCCAGAACATGGCAGATTTGTCCTCATATAGACTCCTCTGTACAAACTGGAGCACAGGGAAACGTCTTTTTGTGTAGCAATTGGTTTTTTCCACACGTACACAGCAGGAACAGTATAAATTAGGGAGGTTAAAGATATTGCAACATTAGTTCTTTTTCTCCAAATAATTTGAGGGCACCCAGCCTTTGAATGGCTTCACACCATTCATGATCTGGCAGTACCACCAGCCATTTGGGTTCCTTTCGAGGACCTCCATGCAGACACCTTCCTGAAACCCCGCAGTCTCCTCATCCCCTTCATAGTCTGCAATGGAAACATAGATGTCCTTGAGATTGTTGTGGATGAACTGGGATTTCTCAATGGGCTTTGGCCTGACTGTAGACACAGGGATCCCATTCCTCTGCGTGGGGAGGTTGGAGGTGGTCTCAGAGCTCTCTGTGCCCAGCCGCTCTGGCTGCTTTCCCTTTGTGTCACCAGGCTGTGACCACGCGTTGCTGAAGGAGGAATTCCGACGGACGTTCCTAAGTTGATCTGTAGTTGTCAAAGACTCATTTCTGCGCAAGGAGCATGACAGGTTGTTGTCCTTTGGTGGTGGAGACACAAACACTGACTGCGGACGGACAGCAAGTTGCCTCACACCATTCCTCATTTTAACTGGCCCTGATGCTTTTGAAAAGCCACCAGGAGGTTTGCTTGGGATGGGTGGTGTTGCACGTTTGCTCTGGTTGATGGTGTTCAAAGCCTGAACCCTCTTCTCTATCTTCTCTAAACTGTTTGACTTGTTTTCATTTTTCCTGTTCCTGGCAAAAGAGGAATCAGTCTCTGCTGATGTAGTTTCTCGCTGGTTATCAGGGAGAGCCAAATAGTGGGAAGGAGCCCAGCCTTCCATGTCTCCATACTTCAGATACCACCATCCACTGGCTTGCTTTTCCAGCACTTCCACTTCGACTCCTGCTGGGAAGCAAATTTCAGAATCCTGTACCTTTTGGTATGAATCAGTGGTCACATAGAAACATCTGGAGTCATTTTCTTGCTCAGTTTTGGCTGTATGGCTGGAGCAGAAGATGCCACGGGAAGGAGTTGTGATGAAATCAGCCGAGCTTCTCCGAACAGGGTCATCCTGGTTCTCAGAAGCTGTGCAGGGGGGGCTTGCAGACTCTTCACTTCTTGAACCTTTGAGTCCACCTCTGAGCTGCCCTGTTGGCCTCAGCTGACGCCTTAAAGTGCTAATATCCATCTTTTCTTGGCTCTGAGAGTCTGCCTTGTTCAGGAAAGGTTTGGGCCTAACGATTGGCTTTGCTCTGATGGAAGGACTCTGCCCAGGATCTTTCTTCATGCCTGTTCTTGGCACACTACGTAAGCCGACATCTGAAGCTGATCTTGGTTTTGTCTCCTCACTCCTGGAATAGTGACATTTTCCAAGATCAGGCTGAATGTTTTTGTCTGTCTTGAGCTTCACGAGTGATGATTTAGGAGAGCTGGAACATGGAGAATTCCTTCGGATCAACGACAGAGAGGAGCTTTTCTGAGAATCCGAATCCCCACTAGATTCCTTGTTTGACAAAGCATCTTCCACATAACGCCTAAACCCCTCATTCTCATAGATGGTTTCTTCTTCATGAGCAACTTCTTCTGAAGACTCCCCTACTTTGAACTTAGCTTTCTGAAGTGATGACACAGGTGAGGGCTTGAGGGGCTGAAACAGTCGTTTTTCAGGAGTGCCCTCTTCATGGTGACTTTCACTCACTTCACACTCTGAGTCAAAGCCAAAGGCAGGCACGTCATACTCAGGTTCTTCGTATTTCAGCTTGTGGGGAGAGTCCTGGGTATCTCCTGAAGAAACTGCTCCAGGAGTTGTTCCTTCTTCAGAGTCTTTTGGTTTACTGGGAGGTGCTGGTGGAGGAACCTTTGGGCGGGTTAAAGTACTGGTTCTTCTGTTCAAATTTGGTTTCTTTCTCTTGTCAATGTAAGATGCTGGGGCCCATCCTTCCTTCTCTCCAATCTGCACATACCACCAGCCACCAGAATTCTTTTCAATAACCTAAGAGGTAACAAGGAACATGTTACTTGGACAAAAATCTCAACTCACTGCTTCCCACTCCTCCCCTTCCAATCCACTCCAATGCAATATTGCAATTTTTCCAGATACACTGTTAAGACTCACCTCTGCTTTTTGTCCTCCACGAAAGCTTATGCCATCAGAGATGCATGACTGGAATTCAGCAATGGTGTAATATTCCACTTCCACAGAGGGTGGCTCTGGTGGCTTGGGTAACTGAAAACCCTATGGCAAATAGTATGCTTTGTTCATTTACACCAAAGAAGCAGTCAGCTAAACAGCAGTATGAAAAGAAAAATGCTTTTAATTCACTAAGACTCATCCTCCTTCCTAATGGTAACTGCCAAGTTCTCCAGAGTGGGAGCTGATGTATTGATATGGGCTAAAAGAGAAAAGTCTTTCAACAGTGGCACTGTTCATGCCACTTTCACCAGCTATTAAAACTAATAATCTTTACCTGCATAGTAAAATATTTTACATGGGGATGATGAAGCGTGAGCTGCAGTCACACTAAGAACAGCTCATTTATGCTGAGATTTTGTCCAGAAAGACCCAGCTCTGGATGACATGCCACAACTGCAGAAAATTGCATTGCAACAAACCTCTAATAGATTCCATTGTTAAATACACTATCTTAAAATATAATCCAAATGAATTATTGCTTTTAATATACTGCCGTTCTTTTTAAACAATCTGAACTCAGATTGTCAGATTATCAGGTCAGTGATATGAGCTAATGGGCAACTCTTGTAGCAAAGAAACAAGGACAATATCACAAACCCCCTAGCTTTGCCCAGCTAAAGTGCTAGAAGGGAAGGACTTTACTGCTTGATCAGAACAACGCCAGATCCTCCTCGTAACAGACCCAGAAACTCTACTCAATCCCAACACAACCTTCGTAAAGGCTCTATGAGAAGTGGGACACTGCTATTTACAGCCATTCTGGCAGCCTATCGGACTCCTCTAAAAGCTAAGTGCCTTTACATTAAGCTGCCACATTTCAGAATTTGCTACAATTATTTTTTAAGGTAATAAATGGGATAAAGGTCCTTTCAGGAATATCAATATTGAAAGCTTTTTCAGACAGCACAGTGCTGATCTGCAGGGCAGCTAGGTGACAGTGAAGCTGCACAGCTTTGGCACTTCACTACTTAGGGTCCTATGAAAGAACAATAGGTCAGACAAACACAGGACAAAGACACAAAATGATCCAGAGCCATCAGTGGGAGAAGGGCAAATCACACACTGTTTTATTCTCCTGCTCCTCCATTTCTATGATACCCCTTCTGTAACTAACAGTTGATGTTTCATCACACACAGCATGTGGCATTTCACAGAGAATGCACCTCTGCACCTTAGGAACCGTGTCTAACAATGTTATAATTGGATGTTTCTGCACTATAAATGCTGAAATACAGCAGAAGCACAGCATAATAAAATGCCTTCAGATAATAGGATGGTTTGGATTAAATGAAGATAATTGGAAACAGCAGATATGCTCAGGGTTTCACATATAATATCACTGTTATTTTTAGCATGGGATTAAGTGTCATAGTCTTGCCAAAACAAAGTCTAATTGCAAATAATGTGAAGAAAAATAGGAAGAAAATGCAAATGTGCTATTCATGTAGTTTGTTAAGAAGCATCTCTAGTGACAGAAAAATTACAAGTCGCATATTGCTCACAAAGGGTACAGCAAAGATTAAACACTATGTATTGCTAGATAAACAAGCTATTAGCAGGACTTTTATATAAATCCACTACTGACTAGCGCCTATTGAAGATGACAGCTCTCATCTCAAATTGGTACAAATTACCAGGATTCTAGCTTTGGGGATAAGAAATCATAAGGAGTCTCATTCCTGTAGCATACATCCTTTCACAGGATTCTGAGCCACTCTAAACATGCACAAGAGTGAAGCTTGGCCACCTCAAAGTTGGTAGCAATGGAAGGAGAGGACACATTCCCAGCTGCTTAAGAGAAGAGAAGGTCAGAAATTTCAGTCTGAGCTAAGGACATCCAGAGGAAATTTAAACCTTCTGAGTCAGCCAAACGAGTTTTAATGCTCATGCACAGAACACAGAAGCTTTATCGTAATCTCCCTTCAGACCTGATTAGTTGGGGCAACATTCTGAATAACAGAAAACCTGATTCATCATTAGGATGCCCTGAGGTCTGCTCAACACTTAATGAATGAACAGGCATGCAAATAAAGGATCCCTCCCACCTTGTACAGCTGCACAAAGTCTGCCAAAGCACCCAGACACCTACCCACTGCTAAGATAAACCATAAACCAATACACACCAGACTGGACTCTCTTCGTGGGGGTGGCCTTGTTCTCAGATTTGGAGAACCTGAGCAGGAAAGGGAACAGGGAGAGTTTATTTAACTTCGCAAGTACTGCTAAACACACTTTTCAGTAGCTCTCTGCTGTTACACAGTTTGAGAATAGAAGACAGTATTTGCAATATTTAAGGTACCTCTATGAAACAAGATAGGAAACTATGAGGGTATACTAGAAATACCAAAGTAGCTTAGGTACTCATCTCTGCTAAGCCAGCAAATTTAAGAGGAAATCACTGCCAGAAAGTAGTGGATTGTATTTTCTGCTGGAACTGACCAGCTCCATTGGAGACTGGCCAACAAAGGACTGGCCTAATACCTATTTTCCCCCTAGCAGTAAAAGTAATTCACTAAACACTCACACTGCTCTCTCTCCTAGTATTTTGCCATTACTTGCACAGAATAGCATCAGCATCTGTAGATGAAGTAGTAAAAACCTTATAGCAACTTGCCACCAGGAAAACAGCAGAACAAATGCAAGAGAAGACACAGGTGGTCTCCTCAACTTGAACATCAGCTACATTTCTGGGGTAGAAGGGCACATTTTAGAGCGTTCAAAAGGAAAAAAGTATGCTCTGGAAAAATTAACAAAGTAAACACATGCAGGCTAAGATAAAGAACCACCAGCCATTCTGTGTATAAAGTGAAGTTAAATTTTATCACTACTAGCGAAGGACCACATTCTGGAGTCCCTCTTGATACATCTACAGGCTATGCAAAGGTCTGCTTGTGTGAACTTGGCTGTAAGGCCAGGGCATGAGGGACTTTAGCTGACAGCCAGTGCCAGCCCTGAAAAGTACAGAACAAGAATTCATTGCAAGCCCGTGAAAACCCAGACTGCTTTACTGCCTTACTTATTTGAGCTCTTTGTGGTGCTATCCTTGCTATGGCTGGGGATCCCTGGGCCAGTTTGGAAGCCTGCTTGTCTGAAGTCATCATGGCGTTGCCATTAGAGTCATTGCACAGAATGGGCAAACTGATTTCCTTCTTGGTGATATGAGTTTCTGCAGACTCGTTTTCTACTTGAGCTTCCTTGTCAGAAGATGATTTCTTGTTCAGCAGGTTACTGATCTCCATGATGTTTCCTATGATTTCCACTGGCCCAGTTAAGTTCTTTTTCCTAGATGGAAGATCATCTTTAGCCTTCTTCAGATATGAAGCTGGGGCCCAGCCCTCTTTGCCCAGATACCTGGAGAGGCAAAAGCAAACACCATCACATCAAACACAGCCTTCTCATGCATGTCAGATAGAACAGCTAAAGCCAAAGTGACAGATGAAAACATCAAAGTTTGCAGTTCTCAAACAAGATTTAGTAGTCTCCATTTATTATCTATTGATTAGACATATCAAAGTCAGTTGAGCCAGCAGTGAACTGTGTAGTTGAAAGCCACTAATCATCCTAAGGAAGGAGTCCCTCTGCACAAGAAATGCTTACACACAAGGTACAGAGCTTCACCAGTTTGTTTTATGCCTCCCCTAGACAGTACTAAGAAAACTCAGCATTTTCCCACAAAGTAAAAAGCAAACTAGTAAGTAAAATACTTGAAAAGTCTTTAAACACTCCTAGTGTCAACTCAAATTGAAAATGGGATAAAATAAGGGTGTACAGCACGTAGTACAGAGAACCTATGCCTGCAGTTTAAGATCATTGTGCAAGCCTCCTTCCCTGAGACTATAAAGAACACTGTCCCTCCTTCCATAATTCCCAGGTCTGCATGAGCAGCTTTCTGTCACTGAATATATGGGACCCTTAAACTACTGCAGCTTTGTCTAGCACTGCAAGATCAAGAAACAATTAGCCTGAGGAAAAATGGATTTGATGGAGACTCATTTTCCTGAACAAGCTCGAGGCAATTTGAAGAAAAACTGGGAAATATGAACAGACACCTGAATCCAATCCGTGTTACTGAAACACCATCCTGAGCTGATCACACTACACTTCAAACTGAGGTAATTCCTCTACAGCTGGGCTTTAGGGAAATAATTTTTTCTAACTTCTGCCATTCCTAACACCTCAGCAGGGATTTCAGATTACAATCAGACTCCAGGGAGGACCATGTGGATGAACTCTGCTTTCCCTAATGAAACCGCAACTTGCTACAGTGAGAGTCACTGAAAACCTTCTCTCTAATCTCTCAAGATACCCAAAACAGGCACTTGAACTGTAAGTGAAAAAGCAGGCATCATTAAAATCCTGGTGCTCAGGAAATCTGCAGGAAATACAAAGGTTAAAACAGTAGGACTCTAAGGTTCTTTATTGAAAAGGGAGCCTCGTTAGACAGCAGAGGAAGGAGCTGGGGCACATGGGATATGAGCAAATAATTTCCTGTCAGGTGAGCATCTTTGTCGTGACAACACTTGGATTCTGAGGTTTCCAGTGAGATCTCTGCATCAAATCTCATCCTGGTCTCACCCACCACATCCACACACTTGAGAGTGGCTCTGGGACTTGACAGGGAGAACAGGAAAATGCAGTGTGGATTTGATTCCCTAGGCTTCTTTATTACTATTCCTGTATAAAAGCAAATACAATTGTTGTACTTCTAGCAACAACTACAAGGATCATTCTGTCTAAAATCCTGCCTTTTCCTCCTCACCCACCTAGACCAGTCAAGATACTAGAGATTCTGCTTCTCCCTACATACTTGCCTTCTGTCACACATGAAGGTAAAGACGTAGCATCTCTCCTGCTCAGGGAGTTTAGGGACAAGTTCTTCCAAATTACTCTGCTGTCAAAGGAAAGCATCCCAAGAGCTCTGAGCTTTGTCTGATGCATGGAGACTAAGAAGAAGTAGCAACCTGATACTAAAATGATTTGAGTGCAAAAAGATTCACAGCATCCACAGCATGGTGTGGGAAGACCATGTCAAGAAGCAGTTTGGATCTATTCAATCCTGCCCCTTTTGAGGCTTTTCTGCTAGGCCTCAAACCAAGCCATAAAAGGAAAAGAAAAAAAGGCCTGAATACATGCCACAGTTCCTGTTGTGTCAAGGTATCACCCATTGCCATTTTTCAGCCCTGAAGACTTTTGGTTTCATTCCCTTTTGCAGAGCTGCTGACCAATGCTCTCTGCTGCCTTTGGATCAAGTAATTGTTTTTAAAATACATTTGTGAGTTTATACAATGTGGAGGTGTAGAGGTCTCCATCTGTGAGAAAGCTACAGTGGCCAATGCACTGAGCACTCCAGTTCCAAAGGTTATTTTCAACAGAGCTTGATTGTGCAAAATCAGCAAGAAAAAACAGTTTACATCCATCTTAGCTTGTGGGAGACTGAACATGTTTAAGATCAGAACGGCAGCCACAGGCAGGTTCTGTACTGGCCTGTTAGTTCTCCTGCCAACTTTAAGTATTTGGATCAGCCTGTGTAACCCCACTGCAACAAATACCTCTGATCTCACATAGCTTCTCCCAATGAATAACAGCAGCAACAGACGGACAGTTAATTACTCTGGGCAACATAACGCTCAGTAGAGAGGCTGTTGTAGGCTACTTCTTCCTGTGTAAGCAAATTTAACCTGAAGTTAATGTTGAGCTGTAGTTACCAGAAACTACTGTTTTATTTCTGCAATATCACAAATAAAAACTACTTTCATAAGCGAAATATGCATACGTTTTTTACCTTAGTCTTGAATTTGTTAATCTTTAAGCCCTTTGAAGAATAACCTTAGAAGATTCCTTGATCTTCCCCATTTTATAGGTGAAAGAACTAAAACAACTGGTAATCAATTTCAGCCAAGTCCTGAAGCAGTAACAATTTTCATTTCACATCTTAGGAGTTGAATCACAAGCATCCTGCCTTCCTTCCTATCTAGAACCTACTGGAAACATTCTAAGCCCATCCTGGATTGCTCCTCATTTCAGTGCTGCCAGCACCTCTCAGCTGCGCTTCATTCTCATGGGCAGAGGCTCAGAGAAACCATAAAATGAAGGCTATGAAGGCAAAGAACAACAGCTTTACTTCGTATATTGGTACCAACTTGCCCTGCAGTCAGTCCACTTGGGCATCACAAGATTGTACTTACCTACTGCTGTCACCTGGAGGCAAAGTAAGATCTAAATGATGGATGCTAATGCCAGCTATGGGCACACTAGGAAGCACAGATCTGCTGAACTCAATACAACAGTAAGCAGGATCCCAGGACAGAGTCTTTCTTTCATTTCTCCCTAGTCCTGATTTTGTTTTTTTTAAGTCATAATGCATGTAGGGCAAAATAAAGACAGACACCAATACTGCCTCTAGCTTGTATAGCATTGAATTGGGAGGGTTTCAGAATTAGGTGCAGTGATTTGGTTCCTTCATGCTTCCAAAACCCTCCCTGTGTATATTATATGAAGGTAAAAACGGATTAAAACTATAGGAATGTTAAAAAAAGTCAGAAGTGCCTCTGTAAGTCTGAGAGTAACATCTGCTTTCCAGCTCCAGAGCACTGGAATTACTCCAGAGGGAAGCAAACTAGGGAAAGGAAAAAAAAAAAAAAAGAAGAAAAAAAAAAGAAAAAAAAGAAAAAAAGGAAAAAAAAGGAAAGAAAAAGAAGGACAGGAAATGAGGATCAGCACATGGCCAAGAATTTGGAGAAATTACATATTTAAGGTGGAACAAGCTAATGTCTTTAAGGTGGATTCCATTTACAAACTACTGGATTTGATGTTCTCTCTACACACTGAAGTGTGTTCAGTCTGTGCAGCCCAGGGTTCAACTGCATTCTCCTCCTGCTCCCTCACACTCACAGCAGGAGAAGGAGTTGCTCCTTCGAAGGCACTCAATACTCAGGGAAGCAAATTTCTGCAGGAAGGGAATCCTTTTCTGAGGGGTCCCTAAGGTATTGAGGGCAGTGTACATGTAACAAACAGCACAAGCTGGAGATCAGCTACCCAGGCTGCAAAGGACCAGCTTTTGCAGGGATGGATCACATCATCAACATTTCTGGAAGTGATGCCCATGGGAAAAATTCCCTGTTTCTAAGAGTTTAGTTCTCCAGCAACAAAGTAGCACAGTGCTCCAAAGCAGCAGAGAGGAGCACAGTTGGCATCCCATAGACTTGTCACATATATGGGGAGCACATACTATCTTCCAACAATAAGAGGGGTTTCTCAAATCAAAATGCCTCTTCCGAAAAAGCCAAGCACATGCTGCAATCCCCACCTATCATGGAGTGGCTGGGGCATCCACTGTCCTTCCAGCAGACTGCCATGGATGACAATGCCACAGAAAACATTGCAGCAAGTGTCATCATGTTCCAGAAGGCACTCCTGGTGTATAGCAAAACGTGTCTTTTGGGTTGACTCAAAGGAGTGCATGAGAAAAAGGAGGAAAAAATAGTTCAACTAATTGTAGGAGTGTTAATATGGCAAAGGGAAACCTCTGGAGGAAGCCCTACAGAAACCTACAGTAGTAACCAGGCTACAATGCAGAAAGAGAATAGAAAAATAAACTAGAGGTGTCCTGCAATGGTTCTCCCCTCAGAAAAACCTATGTGCTCGATTCCCCTATCTGAAACTCTGGATTCCACTTCTGTAGATGATTAATGGAGGAAAAAAATGTGACCTGACCAAACCCAGGCATTTTTGAGTTCCTCCTATCTAGAGTGCCTTCCTGGCTCCACTGCTATCTTTATTAGCTTATTTGCTCCATGGGATCATTAGATAGAAAACTGATATTTTTTTCTTCTAAGTAAGGGAAATCAAGTAAAACAACAGCATTGCTTCAGCATTTTCACAATCCTTATTCAGAGCCAATAAATCAAGCAGCATTCAAGCAAAAGCAAGTTATAACTTGGGGAGGGAAAGAGGAAAAAATCATTGTAATTACATGTTGAATGGAAAAAGATGACTATATGAGATGTTCTGCACTGCTGAGAGATAAACCTCCATTGTAAGCTACCTGTTGTGTCACATCTTGTTTGAAGAGAAATGGGATGTCACAGCACTGACAGGTTCACACACAGATACAAGGCAAAAGGCAGAACCACAAAAGAGCACTAAAACCTAAATGCTGTGTGACCCTAGATGAAGAAAGCTCTGAAGTGCTCATCCTGACACCCTAGATCACTGAGACAATATCTACCCTACAGTCTGCCCATAAGCATTTACAAAGGAGATTCTTAAGTCAAAATCCTCTGCTAGGACTGCTGTTCCAACTACATAACAAAATTTGATACACAATAACAACTTCACCTGCCCTTGGAATGCAGTCCCTCTACATTAGGAATACCTAATGTGGATAGACAAAAATCAAAGCAAATTAGCTGAAACCATTGGTAAGCTTGCAAAAGGGCTATAGCAAGCAAACTGATCTCATATCCCTGAAAGTAACACTACCTGCTCCAAACAGCTCAAGAGATCACAATCAGCCTTTTAGCATTGCTATAAATAGATTTAAATAGGTTGCAGAATAACTCTTATACTGGAAGCACATTGAAATTATATACAACAGAAAGCCTTGTTAGGTCTCACAGATCTTAACTCAAATACGGGCTTTTAACTTGAAGCAAGGGAAAAAAACCCTAAAACTGCAAGTTAAGGCATTTCCTCACTGAAATGGTCCACAGCCTTTCCAGATACTGTATTGTTACTTTAGCCACCGTTGTATCGCCTCAGACTTTTCTTTATGTTTCTTCCAGAGGCATTATGAACAATTTGGGATTCCCTGTCTAGCTACAGAATTATTTAAATGCTAACACTCAGTGAATGATCAGAAGAGCTCATTGTAGCAGTTTCTGCGACTTGCACAGCTTCTTTACCTGATGTACCACCATCCTTCCAGGTTCTTTTGGATGACCTCCACGGTGACCCCTTTTTCGAACCCAATCTCGTCCTTCCCCTGGCTGGCGTACGGCTGGATAGTGACATATTTCTCTTCTAGTGAGGGGAGAAAAGGCAACATCAGTTAGGGTCAGGATCAGTCCAGCTGTTTTTCCACACTGCTTGCTTTTAAACTGCTATGCAGCGATTACGTGAAGCCATTACAAAAGGCGGAGCCCTGCTCAGGGGCCCACTGGTTATTTATGCTGACGACATGACAGATAATCAGCCCCTCGCCACAACCCTGCTGCTGATAATCGCAAAATGTTTCCATGCCAATAATGACACAAAGTCCCCAGAGAGCGTCCCCCTCTCCCTCGCTTCTTCCCACCTCCCTCCCCCTCTCTGAGTTCCTCGAGCGGGTAAGGGAGAGGATTTGAAGCTGGACTTAACTCCCATACTGTAACTTGACAGAATCAATCCGGCTGCCAAATCAGCCCAGCGTCACTGCGGGAGCTGCAGCCAGTTGGCTCTTTGCACATGCACATGGCTGCACGAAGCATTGTGTTACTGAAACTCGAGCGCTGCATCCCCAGGGGGACACATCTCCCCAGCCCAGAGGGGCTGGCCCAGCACACTGCTCTCCTTGCACCTCCCAAGCAGCACAGGTCTACAGCAGTGAGCTTGAAACGTTTAAAAAAACACGAAAAAAGAACAAGAGAGGTTTGCATATGACAGGAGATGATACAGCATTCACATCCATGGGTTGTGAAGTGTTTTACAAACATACTTTTGCTAAACCTCACTTCAGAGAAATGCAGATGTGACACTGGTGAAGGGGGGCCAGAACTAAGACACACACTTCAAAAGCACAGACTGGACTTCAAGTATGGTGTTTGAGCCAAAAACTTAGCATCCCTATTCATCTCCATCATCTATCCCCTTCCAGCTGGGCAGAGGTTTTAAGCAGACTTGCTGAGAGCAAGCCAGTAAGCAGATCAGAGCAGAACAGACACTTGTCAACATCTTCTTCCACCTACCCAGGAGTCATTTACTGCAGCATTCCCATCACACCCAAAGCCAATCTTTCCCTCTGAAGCTTAAAAAATTACACCTGCCATTGAAAACTTGGACTACCATCCTTCCTCTGCAACAGCAGACGTGGAAAGTGTCACAAAACCCCTCTCCTCAACCCAAACTCTGGTGCATGTGACATCATGAGTTTCTGTAGCTAGATTAAAGGCAGGGAAGGCAAGCAATTAAGAGCACCTCAGCCAGTCTTCCTAGAACTTTCTACCAGCAGTCACAACAGGGCAGGGAAAGAACAAATGGAAAGCTTTCAGTGCAGAGGAATGGGCATGAAACAAAGTGAATCCAAAGCTCCTGATCACTGCAGAACAAAGGAGCTATGAAAAGGTTGCAGCAGCTTGAAGTGAGCACTCTTTAAGAGAGTAAAACAGATCCAAGCAGCTGTTTGGTTTTGTGGCTCAACTGCATTTGTTGCTGGGTGAAGCATGGAAACTTTAATTAAAAAAAACAAAACAAAGCACTTACTGAGACAAAGTAAGAAATAATACCTCAGAAAAGGGAAAATAATGTTGATGGAGCATCTGATGGCAGCAAATTCAGCACAGCTACATCTCTGAAGTCAAGTTGCCTTGACTAGTCATATTTGGATCCTTCTAATTCTGATGGGACAAAATCTGTCAAAACCTTTGCTACCAAGAGGAAAAGCCTCTCTGTTGCTCTCTCCTAGGAGGCTGCTTAACTGGCTTATCACTGGTAAGAAATTCCAGCTGGTTTGTAATTAGCACCATCAGCATATGACACCTTCCCCACAGAAACACTCCACTACAAATGAAACCTGGCAAATGAAATCCCAGCTTCCAAGTCACGGGACAGGACAGTTTTCCTAGCTAGGTTTCTGTTCTGAGTGATAGAATTGGACTAATTTTTCCCCTATTTTCAAGTCTGCTGCAGAAGGAGCTCCATGTCTGGTTTCCACTGCATGCAAAGCACTAAACTGAACTGCAGAAGACCCCCAGGCAGCTAGATCTTGTCTCTGTAAGGTCCAAGGTAAAGTTCAGTGATGCTCTGTCCAGATACACATTGTTTCAGACACTTCCAGGGATGTTTCTAGGACAGTAATACTGAGCTAAGCATATATTTTACTGAGTCTTGGAAGAAGGCCCTCTTTTTTCTTTCCCCCATACCAAAGGTCACTCTTGCCACTCCCACAGAAATTGCTGTGTTTATTCTATTTTTCCTCCACACAAACACCAGGCTTCAGCTAAAGCCAGTTATTCGGCTCCTTTTGCTAGAAAGAGAGTGGTCTCACTCTTCAGGGATGTGGCTCCCCTTTTTCTGCAGATAACCATGCATAGGTTGCTCATTCCTAGCTTCCAACACAACTTTCCAAACTTCTGTGTGAGGAATTGAGACAGTGGTCACCCATCAAAACCAACAGCACTGGAGGCTGATCACTCAGGAGAAACAGTAAGGCTTTTCTGAACTGCCACTGTCTCATTCTGCCCATGAGCACCTTCACTGCTTACATCTTCGGTCCTGTGGCTTTCAACTCAAGACTACTTCTTTTTGAGAGAAAAGCCCCTTATGCGACTCCTCCTTATACTGAACAAATCAAAAAAATGAAGTACATAGAAATAGGGAGGGAAGAGAGGGAAAATGGATCTCCCATGAAGCAAGACAATCAAAAGTGTTAAAAATCAACTCTAGAAAGAAAGGTCTGACAATGTTTTTGTTTAGCAGCTGTTTTTAGGCCCACAGAGAAAAGCCAGGAAGCCATCATTACAATTTCCCCTTGCAAAGTACTCTGACAACAAAAATTACATTTCCAAGATTACACACGTTTGGTTTCTGTCAATGCTGCAGGAGACGCCACAAACATGCATGAGGTTTGTAACTGTACAACAGTTATTCTGGAGATATGGGCCTCTTGTAATCAAAGTGCAAATTCTGTTTTGTTTCTCAAAGATTATCTCTAGCCAGTGGACACTTCGTATAAACCAAGATTTGCTGAAGGGAGCAGGGGAGCTCTCAGTAGATGTGTCACTGAAGAGGACTGATAATAGCATTCAGCATATCATATTATTCAAAAGTCTTTAAGAGAAGATATTTGACACTTCGTGACTGATATGTAAAGTTACTGTAAAGACTTAACAGATAAATGGTTTAATGAAAGAATCAGCAGAGCGTCAGACAGCAGAATGACACTGCTGTGAGTTACACTGACAAATCTCATATTGCGCTGGTTTCATTCAGCTTCTGTGACAGGCAATAGTATAAAACAGAAGTCAGTGAACCATCCCAGACCTACTATTGAAGTTATATACCCAAATCTACAGAGAATACAAAAGCATATAATTTTGGTTCATTAAGTTTTGACTTAAGAATTACCAGGAGAAAAAAAAAAAAAAGACAAAGGATAATTTGTATTCCCCAGCTGCAGCTTCTGTTACATCAACCTCAGTGTTGAGGTCAAGTGGGTAGAATAAACTTTACTACATGCTACAAAGCACATACACCAGCTAAAAGGCTGCATTTAGAAACAATAGGATGAAAGTCCTATCCCCTTTGAGATAGAAATGGCAATAAGGCAGCTCTGTTCTTAGTGAGTGACATCCAGAGATCTATTAATTGCTCGGTTAGCCAACTTCACTCACATTTCTTTACCACTCATTTGCAGACCAAAGACACCTTTTCCAGCTGAGCTGAAGGAGCTCTGGGTTTTGAGCTGCTCTAGTAAATCCGAACACGGCACACATGAAGCAGCAAAGCCCGTTTGGCAAAGAGCTACGATACACATCTGTCACATCATGCATTATCCAACTACAACCTACTTTGGTTGGAAGGAAAGGATTAGTATGTGTCACTCTCTCTCCTCCCCATCACAGACACTATTTAAAATATGCACAACCAGAATTTTTGCACTATTTCAACCACTCAGCTCATACCTTGCTGCTGTAGCTGTGCTCTGCCCAGCTCTCCCAGACACTGTGGCAACCCAGCGCTCAGTCCACTACTTACTCCAAAGCCTCAATTCCCTATCTATCTATCTATCTCCTCTTCCCTTTCCTCCACCCAAAAGAAGGCAGGCTTCTATTTTGCTTTGGTTCTACCTAAAATCTCCTGAACATATACAGTAGAGAACTGGGACCAAAATATAGGGACAGATCTTGGTGGATCACTGGGAAAACAGCATGGACAGCAGAGAACAGTACCTATGCCCTTGGAACAGCCCACAATACTACAGAGAGGGCTTTTTCTAGCCACAAAGATTTTTCCCCCAGAAAACGTAGCAGGAGTACGGCTGTCCAGCTGGAAGGTGTGCACATATACAGGACAAAGGTTCAGTTGCTGTACAGTGCCCTGCATCACAGCCACATACATTACTGGTCTATACAGCTGCACCCAACACACCTCGTACAAGGAAATCACTGGTATTTGAGTGTTATGGATCACTTTTTCACAGTAACATCTAATGTCCTTCTGTAACCACTAGAAGAGGACAAAAGAAGCAAAAAGGAAAGAAAACAAAAAAACCCACCAACACAAAAACACAAGCCTTTTGTGTTCCTCCAGCAACACCACAGTGTTTTGCCAAGCTGAGGCCTTTTCTATGCATAAACAGTAATAGCTCTAAAACTAAAAAGCCACTTTAAAACCAGTTTTTGAATTCAGAGCAGTCAAGGCAACCCATACAAAACTTGATTGAAAACCTGGCTAGGATAGTTTAAGCACACCCATGTTTCTTGTCCCACCCATTTTAACATACAGCTTAATGAAGGACAACTTTTCACATAAAAAGAATTTATAATACAGCCATTAAACCACCACATGATTTACAGCAGAGCAAGATGACCTGCAGCCACCTGGGCAATGCTCATTGAGTAACAACAGGTCACCTCTGCAGTCACAGTGTAATGAGGAGTGAAATATTTCTTCTGTTCTGCCCAGCCAATTCACTGGCTATAATACAACATACTGGCTGCAGAAAAATGAGGGATGATTTTTTTAAGATTTGATTTCTTAAAATTTAGGAGGACTTCATGTCAATGACAGCTATTTTTGGATAATTGCACACCTTGACAACTGTG